GAGGAAACAATGAAGTGAAATTAAATTAAAATAATATTATTGTGATAAAAATTGATTGGTCCATGGTAGTGTCACCTATGGTAATCTTTAATCAGGGCAGTTAGATGGAGTTTATTCATTTCTATATATTATTATTGGGTATTTTTGAATATTTTTATTTTCATTTTTCAAAAGAAAATTTACAACAATTCATTATAATTAAAGGTCATTTTTCATATTTTCAGAATATAAGTAACGTGCCAATTTATTTTGATAGCTGATTTAAGATTAAGGAAGTTAACCGTCACAATCAAAAGGTAGAGAGTATTATTTAACAAACATAAAAGACATCTAATTTAGACTAAACATCATACTTAATAAATTGATCAAATGACCATACTAGTTTAGATAATAGACCGATAATGCTTGAAACCATTTTACACCAATTTCTTTTTTCTAATGTTCTATATATACTTCTATTGTCGTTAAGGAACTAGTTGTACACCATTATTTTAGGGATAATGGAAAACAAATAACGAGAACACGCAAGAAGATTACTTTTACGAGAAGAAGACTAAAAAGGGGTACAAACCAATTTATTGATGGGCAATTGCAGTTTAATGTTTACCTTAATATATCACCACTTGAAGAAGACTAAAACTTGTATAAAGTTTTTCTTATAAGGAGAAGTTCTGTTATTAGTGCTAGTATTGTAACACAAAATAATAACATTAATAACATAATACTAAATAAGACTAAACACGGAATAAATAGTACTCCTAATTAAAAGACGACAGTTATTTGGGAAATAGACCAGACATTCGTAACTTCCCCAATTTTCTATTTTAATAATGTTCTATGGTCGTTAACTCGTTCCTAATTCCTTCAGCCCTCCGAAAAAAATCCAAAAAAAGAAATGCTACATATCAACAAGATAAACTATAATTACTATATTAACGAAAATATTCCTTGCACAATGACATTGTTGGTAGAGGCGGATCTAATATTTTAAAATTTTGGAGTTCTGAATAAATCTTTTATTTACATTAGTTGAATTTTAAACATAAATACAAAGTTTAGGCCAAAACTATTGAGTTATTTCGAACCCATAAATGGAATTATACAATTTTTCAGGTAAAGATAATCCTATCAAAACATGTTCAATTTCTCCATATAGAAAAAATTAATCTTCTCTTCTGTAACTAGTGCTACGGACTATAACAGAAAAAAATAATAGCATTTGCAACCAAATTATAAGTCCATATTCTAAATAAGAAATAATTCGAGTTCCCATTCAACTAACACCATTTAACTAGTAGAGATTTAATTCATGTCATTTTCTTATACCATTTATGAGTCATTCCTTTCCTCATCCCCTTCCTCCAAAAAAGAATTTAAAATAAGAAACACTACCTCTGAGGCAAGATATACTATAATTACTATATGAGCGAAGAACATATACAAGGTGATATTTGGAAAATATGAAGAACGTCTAAATGTTCCATTTGAAGGAATTCCATTAATGGATATGCAGACTATCAAATATGGAAACCAAACTTCATTATAGATTGGCTGAAATCATCTCCCCTAAACACACCATTACTACAACATTAACATTTGAAGTTGGCTACATACGTTAATTTTCTCTTTAGAAGCACCACAAAAGAAGTTGAAGCTCGGTTATGTTTTCTGCCGGTGATATATTTTAAAATCAATCAAGGTTATATATATAGCTTTTTGTTTATTAAATATTGTTGCCTATCTTCTAATCGGTTACCATAATTAAACATGAGTTCATTGTATATTCTAGTCCATAATATTTTTCTGATACGTAATGGCTTATCAAGTGCAGGAAGATGCCAGCTGGAGCTATGTGGTTTATTGCAGTTATAGCCATTTTGCCACTCCTTTTATGTGGTGAAGGCCAACAGGTGCAAACACCTCACTCAATTGTTGCTAAAGATGGCTCCGGGAATTACACCACAATAACGTTAACGGATGCCATCATTTCAGCACCAAACAACAGTGTAAATAAATACTATATCATAATTAAGCAAGGGATGTATTATAATGAATATATTCAAATAGATAAATGGAAGACAAACATAGTTCTAATCGGCGAAGGCATGGACAATACCATAATATCGATCAGGGAATAAGAGTTATGGCGGTGATAGCATCAAGACAAGTCTCACTGCTACTCACTTTCTATAGGTGTCGTTTCGACGGCTTTCAAGACACCTTATACATAAAAGAAGGCCTACAATTCTACAGGGATTGTGAAGTATTTGGTACCATAGATTTCATCTGTGGTGATGCAATAGCCGTGTTCCAGAACTGCTTAATTGAAGCACGCCTGCTACTGCCCAAGCAATATAAACAAGTCCCTAGTTCAGCCATTATATCTTGAGTATGGGAATAGAGGACCAGGCGCAATTAAAGAGGGACGAGTGAAGTGGGCGTTTGTTACTAGAGATCCAGATGTTGCATCAAATTTCACGGTCAGAAACTTCATAGGAGGTGACAAATGGATTCCTGCCGATGTTCCGCATTATTTAGATCTTCATGAGTAGAGGAAATAAAGAGTTCGATGATAGGACACAGTCTTCTTCCATTGCAAAGATATCTATCGGTGTACAAGCTGCTAGTCTTTTTCATTTTCATATTAATTTTTTGTTGTTGTTTTTGGGTACAAGAATCCAGTCATAGCTTTCTTTCGAGTTTGAAAGCTTGTGAGCTAGATGAAGATGTATATTGTGTCATGTACAATAAGGTCTTGAGATTGTATATTACAGATTTTAGTAGAGTTTGCTCATTTGATATTGGAAATAATCAAGAATTTTTCAAATGCAATATGAACCAGTTGCATCAAAGTGAATGAGTGCAGCCTTTGCATTAAAAAATATTGTCACCGTAAAGCTACAGAGAATATATACCTACCAGATATGGTTGTAGTCCGATAAAGTTTGAAATATTCAGTGAAATGATAAAAGAAGATTGAAACATGGCAAAGATTTATTTTTTCTTAACCAAGTTACAAGCTTGATCATGTTGACAACATCCTTTGGCGCCAGAAGAAATTTTTGCAGAGAAGATGTACTTCAAAGATCATTGAGAGTATATTGGTATTAAACGCTTCAATGTCTTGTATATATATATAGCCTTGACTTGATCTATAGAGAGGTGGGCCAAGTAATATACTTATCTTTCTCCCTTCTTTGTAAACCTTTTGCCCTTATTTTCTCTGTATTTTCTCAGGATTAATCTTATTTTACCTTATTTATTGAATTTTATTAAACATTAGTGACTAGTTGTTTAATTTCATCAGCTACAAAAGGTCCTTTGCATATTTCAATAATCTCATGTGATTATTCAAAATCTTATAAAAAATAATTTGGAATATACGTGCAACGCACGTGTCTAGAAGCTAATGTTTAAAAATAATAATAATTAATATTCAATTCCAAATTTCATATTTAAGATTTGATAATCAATTGGAACATTGAACCGTTTTCTAGGTATCAATAGGTTACTTTTCAAAGTAAAAATACTGGGGAAAAGGGACAAATAAAGAAAGAATTGTCTTTGGCAAAATAGCCTAACATATTCTCACATTGGCTTTTTTCTAAGCGGCCTTAGAACAACTATGGATTATTCCTTTTTCCCCTTCATGGATTTCTCAAATAGATCAAACTATTTTTTTTGGGGGGGAGGGGTTGGGTTTATCCATGCGGTGTCAAGTAGTCACATTACAGTCCAACTATATCTGGATTGTGCCGCTTAAGCAGTGACGGAGCCACGTACATCCAAGGGGTGTCACTGACACCCCTTTGTCGGAAAATTACATTGTTTAGCTCGGTAATTTTTTTTTTGTAAAATATGTATATATACTATATAATGACACCTTTTGACTTCTGGTGAGTTTATTTCTTTATATTTTGACTCCTCTTAATGAAAATCCTGGCGCGTAAGGCCCATTTAAGGGGGAAGTGCTCCCTAATAGAATTTTTTTCATATGCAGGACTCGAAACCGAAACCTCTGGTTAAGGATGGAGAGATCTTATCCATCCCATCACAGCCATGGTATAGATCAAACTATGGTTTGCATATTTGCTAATTAGTTCTCTAGTTTTAGTTGGGATAAAGAACTAGGATCATGGAATTTTGTCAGCAAGGAAGTTCAGCGTTGTGCTTTTCTCAAATGACAAATTCATATACCAAATTTCAAGTGTGGTCTTGAAAGCAGGATAAATGATAGTACTAATTTGCTATTGTAACTGAATCAACTTGAGATGGTCTATTTTCTATGTCCACATTTTTATCTCTTGTGAAAGTATTCCTCGACATATCACACAAATTGAGGAGGCATCTATTTGTCGATGTCATCTGATCTGTGTTGCACTGGAACTTTTAGTAGTCTTTCAGTTTTTAGTTCTTCTTTCTCCTTTATTGCTTAAGTAAGGAGAAGATTACTCCTAAATTGCATTGTTAAAATCTACAGCGATTATCACTTCTAATTGTCAATTGCATCACTGTTTATAATTAATAGGGTTTGCATGTACAATAAACTACATATACTGAGATAATTATGTACTTCCTCTGTTTGAAGATAAATACTACCTTAACCTTGAACTTTTCTTAAAACGTCGTAATCAATTTGATAATGATGGTTAAACTTACTTTTAGAATTAAAAGTTCAAGAGAAATTGTACAAGTAGAAAATAAAGAAAACTTGATTTTTTGTTTCCAAATGCATTTATCAATTATAATATAAGGGGAAATGACATTGTATAGCCGCTCTCAAAATAATAGCGGAAAAAAAAAATATATATATATATATACATTATGTATGTTATATATAAAAAATATATAAATTTTATACTTTTTCGGCTACCAAATACAAATAGTTTCTGACGCGGACTAAAAGTGATAATACTCCGTCATATAATAACTAGTTGGCGGTAGCTCGGGCGGGCCCGGGCCCAAGGAACTTATAAATTTTTGATTTAACATAAAAAAAATTGTTTAAAGACTAAAGTAAAATTGAACAAAATCTATTCGGTTTGATTCAAAATCTATACAATTGATTAACTTTCTTCTTGTTGCTGCAATTCTATCAATTATATTAGGTCCCTAATAGTTGTCGACTTGTCGTGCTCTTAGGAAGCAGAGCGTATTTGCCTTGAGACCGAGACAACAAGCTAGTCTGAAAAATGCAAAAGTAAAAAATGTTTTAGCACATGTGCGTAATACAAATTATCAGAATAAAAAAAGTAGAAATTAACACATCCGTGCATTATAATTTATTAAAAGAAATATTTTTTTTTTAAATTCTCTTTAAATTCTTGATTGTAACATACTTTACCGTCTATTAACCTAAATTATTGTCTTACTTCCATACATTTTAACAAAAGAGAAGGGATAATGTATTGGGTATAGCCAATACATTGAATTATAATTTGTGTCTGAATTTGTTTGACTTGCTTTATAGTCTTACATGTGATTAGTGCAAATGAAGTCTTCTGTACAGGAGCTGCACTTGGTGTTGCACCAGTAGGAGTATCTAAAAATATCAATTTAGATATTTGTACCCTGTCGAAGTATAAGGAACCATGATAGCTGAGATAAAAATATTTGCTAGTGCTAGAAGTTAATGAATGTTTTTCTGTAGCATCAAATCTTATGATGTTTAAGAGTCTTATGGAAAATGAATTATGTACCATTTCTCTCCATGTGATATATGTTGTCTAAGGCATTTATCACTATTTTTTCCACCAAGATATGAACGTTCTTGATCTGCTCAATTTAGGCGTTGTCCATCTTTCTGTTATTTGTAGGCATATAAATTTATTACTAAAGTAGAGACATATTAACACAATAACATGAAATATAAAGCATAATTATTTAGCATTATGAATAAGCATATGACAATAGACTAAAGAAGTGCAGAATCACCTATTTTAGTCAAAGTCATGTATTCTAGTTTAAGCATTGTTTCTGCTTCCCAGGTCAGCACTTTGAAGAACCTGTGAAATCAAAATAGTGTGGCCATTATATTTCCAAATAAATTTATCAAAAAATAAAAACATAGAAACGTGGACAAGATGTAAACATGTAGGTTTACACTATTATAAATTTACATATCCAGAACAATGTCCTTCCTTAGACATAAAGATCTTTTTGAATCATTTTTTTTGTTCCTTTAATGATCATTTATCAATTATCAATATTGTAGGGCTGGTGATAGTCATTATTTCTTCTAATTTGTACTGTAGTTCTATTTGTGGTTCATTCAAGGATAAATATTTTGCTGACGAATAAGGATTAGCTAAATTAATTTCTAAAGAAAATTATTTTAATTAATACTGACACAGTTCTTTCGAGGAAATGCAACAATTAACTCTCGAAGAAAATTAAAAAAATGAAGTGATACTCAGTTGTGCAGACATGTAAGTTTGCCTGTGTAGAGAAAATGTCATAAGGGACCATCTGGGTTTACTCCTCTAATCATGTAAACCAAAAATTCGAAGAGCAATCTGTTGCAAATTGCCACAATGGAAGACTAAATAATCAGAAAAATATTTTAAATATTCTGACGGCTTTATATTTAATTTATTGTGCAGTACATTTTAATATTTCAGGAAAATTCCCAAATCAGGAATGTTTACCTGTTAGTCCTAACTATATATACAGAAACCCAGAGTAGGAGTCGAACCAAAGTCCAAAATTGCATCTATAACTAAAGATATTAAAAGATTAATCTGATCATACCGGATATCGACGAAAACCTTCGATGGGTTAACTTTGCAAACAAAGTATACTTTACATATTCTCTCTATGAAATCCCTACGGGAAAAATGGATAAATTTTGAGAGAATCCATTCATAACCCCACGGAAGAATTAGGAGAAAGAATAGACGAAGAATACTTTGAACGGGAACAAAAGTTGTGCAAAAGAAAGTTCTGGCAGGGCAGGTATTCGACTTGGTCATGATTGAAAGTTTTTAAGGCCAAAAATTGGGGTGAAAATTAGCCACTTTATGCCATCACTACATTATGCTTGACTCGACTTATCAATACTATGCATCATTCATTACTTGTTCTGTAGGCCCACCACGAAGAAGTTCATAGAAACAAAGTTTTATAAAATTATGGTTTTCCCTACACGTATATCAGTAACAACTACTGAATAGTATAGTATATATAATCAACGTTTTAAGGAAATTATGATTGGAACCCACAAAAGGTAATGTCAAATGCCTCGTCGTAAAGAAATTTAGGGATAGAAACTGCTGAAATTTATGCTGACACATAGTTATGACAGATACTCCCAACAATTCAAATCTCATCAACATGTTCATCGAGCATTGTCGCTAAAAAAACTTCACTTTCAAACATTAACAAAATTATCACTTATTATATTTCTGTTGTAAATTTAACAAACAGTAGTCCATGTAGGTTGAACAATAAGGTAAACTGACACATATCAGGATACAACAGGTACATCCAATTGGCATAAAAATCATAACCTTAAATATACAAAATTACACTTGATATTCCCAGGTAGAGAACTTCCCCTTTCTGCATCAATTTTGAATCTATATAGTTATTGGTGTTGCTAGAGCGTATATTTTTAAGATAGTAAAATAAAAATAACAGATGCTTTAACAAACTGAGAATACTACTTAGACTTCAGTTGTGCTGACCAATTAACTTCCGTTTTTTTCTCTTTTGAGGATAAATTCAAGAAGCAGCACGACAAAACTAAGATTTTCATGTAACTAAACCATTCAATCTAACATTACTGGAAATAATTCATATACAAAATAGCTATATATAAGGAGTAGCAATTTTTACCTCTTTATTTTGTTCCAAGTACTACTTGTCTTCATCTCCCGGTATACATGAAGTTTATAATCTAACTCTGAAGGATAGAGATCGATTAACAAGCATATGCAAATTTGGTTTGTTTCTTTGACCGGAATATATTTTTTCACAAGCTTATTACCACAAGATAACTGTATTTATAACATTCAAACCAAAAAAGGAGTCAGCAGACCCTAAGTAACAAATTTATTGTTCATTCTACTGGTATAAATAATAGAAATGTAATAACCCGTTGGGGTTCAGTCTTTTAATGACCAATCTTTTAAAGAAAGTAAAATACAAGAAAAAAAAATGAAGAGAACTTAGAAGTCACGTAAGAAATTCAAAATAAACAAATTAATAACAGAGAACAAATCAGACCCAACCTCAGTTTGTTTTCACCTTTCTGAAACGAATCTTAAGACTAAACTGAAGAAAAGATTGATAATCAAGCCAAAACCCCAAAGACCTGATCTTTTTGCATAAGAAGAAAAAGTAGAACAGAAAGCATAAATAAAATAAAATGCTGGAGTGATTGGAATAAACCTGCTCTTAGTGGTAGATGTTTCGTTGAATTATTAGGTAAGGTCTGCTGGATTTTGGGGCAATTGATGCTGCCCTCTTTCCTTCGTGTGGAATAATTTGGAAGTGAATGCTTCTAACAAGTGTTGAATGGAGTTTTTAGGTTTGGGGAATTGAGAGTCCACGCTTTGGCCAAGAAAGAGTATCAATTGAGCTGTAAATTAATAAATTACAAAATTACCCCAGACAAAATAAAAATTCAAGGGAATACACACGTTGACACGGAGAGGTGCATGTGTTCCCTCTTCTAATAAGTAGGAATGTTAACAATTCCTAAAACTTTTGCCTCAGCTAGAAGTTGTTTTTTATTAAAATTAATAATAGTTTTCCTAAGATAACAATATATCAGGAAAGATTTAATGAAGCGACACTATTTTCACATGATAACAAATTATTAGAAGAAATTGATTCGCACATAGCGTTATAAAAGCACGGAACTCTAAAATAAAATGTTAATAGATATTTTTACCTTTCATAAATGTATTTCATATTGGATAAAGTTATAATTATGATTAATCATTAAAAACTTCAATTTTCTTGTGTTCATTATTTGTCCTCTTTAATTAATAAAATAATTGTATAACTACACTAGGAATGCAATTAACTCTCCTTTTGAAGTTTTTGATTCAATTTCCCAAGATGCAATTAATTTTTAATTCTCCGACATCGGGCTTAAATTTACCATAAGAAAATTGGAGTACCATATTTGTTAAAAGTTACAATTATTATTTAAATTTTTAATTATTTCCTTGTGATCATTAAAATGGACAGATGGCATAAATCCTTGCCTTAAGTTTTCTCCCTTATTTTATAAGGCACATTAGTCTATTAAAATGGACCAAGTTAATATGATCATACCTTTCTATTAAACAAATCGAAGCAGTCATTTCATTGAAGTCGAAGTTAACCAAAATGATATTCTCCGATCCTGCCTCCATTTTCTCCTCTAAAATGAAGTAAACTCTAAAATAGGATAAAGTTACTCAAACTATTACTCCAAAAAAATATATTTTATTTTATATTCTTCTCTCTTCAATATTATATTATTATCTTTTATTTAAATTTTATTTTCTTATTTCTATTAAAGAAATTCTATCTTTTTTTATACATATTTATCACATATAATTTAATATAAAATTATTTTATGCCATAAATTTTTAAATAATATAATTTATAAGCAAATATTATACATTATATATATTAACGAATAATTCAAATAAAAGTGAAATCATTGAGATACAAGATAATTAAATACATATTATATTATGATAAAATTCTGATTAAATATTATATAAATATTCAACTTACACCTCTAGTATGCTCCCATAAATAATCTATTAATGCATTACGAAGTGCAAAATGAGCATCTTTGTCCTTAATTCTTTTATGTTGAGCTAAAAATTATTCAAATCGATGATTTTCATCTACTACCATTTCTATCGTTGGGGGTGGACATTCTCAATCATCTTGAATTGGTGCATTAAAATCACACTCATCCTCGACCATTAATATATTTTCATTTAATGTATTTTCAACTTTCACTTTTCAATTTTAGCAACATCTAATATTTTATATTCGCACCTTTCAATTTTAGCAACATCTAATATTTTATATTTGCACCATTCATTTTTTGAGATGATTATATATTTTTTGTACAATTATAACTTATAATAAAAGTAACTTACAATTTTACATAAAAATAATAAATGTACAAAAATTAATTTATCAAAATTATACGCCAAAGCTAAGATGTAAAATTAATATTATAAAGATATTACATAAACATAATTAGGTATATATAAAGAGATAAATTAAAAGAGTTAAATAATAAAAATAATAATAAAATAAGGATGAATAGTAACAGACGAACGGATGAGATAGAATAGTTTCCCTCCAAATTTGGAATAACACTATTCATCCCCATCTTGCAGCAAAAAATGAGGAGCACATTTTGGCAAAAAATGAATGTATTTTGGAAAAATGGGGGAGCGTTGGAGATGCTCTCACACCGTACCCAATCCATATTATCGCAGGTGAAGAAAAAAACTCATCTTACCGCCTATCAACACAACAATCATATCAACAGAAGATCAATAACTCTGGCTGTTACTACTACATTAGCACCAGTTAGTTATTATTACCATCAATTATCAAGGGCTTCAAAGGAAACAGTACTTGTAACAAACAGTATTTTAAAACAGTGACCATCAGCTAAAAGATTTACCTTACTAGACGTAATTCCGAATGGCACATTACGCCAACGAGAGCCTGTAACAAGTGCCCATTCTGAACCATACGACCAATATTTTTCCCTTGATTCTTTTCCTTCATTGAGGAAAAAGGAGGAAATTGACACCAAGGCTAAAGGAGTTGTGTTTTTTAACCAAAAAGAAAACAGCACTCTCCCTTTAGATGATGAACAAATATTGTAAACAGGAGCTACTAAACATAAAAAAATCAACTCCCGTCTGAGCACTTAAAAGAAAACATAAAAGAAATAATTGGACAGCAAAAACATATGCATTTGCAGGCGCTCAATCGTAAGCCTTCTCCCAATCATCCACTACATCTGCCATCTCGTCGACCCCCACGTCTTGAGGTTTGGGGGGCAAAGCTGAACCACCCACTCCTGGCTCAGTAACAGGTTCCTTGATTGTAATAGACGCCCTGGGAAAATTGGAAGTCATTTCAGGCCCTAAGACACTCCACCTATTAGACGAGGCAGCAGTTGTTGCTTCATTTGTCCTCCAGGCAGAAGGGGCTGAATCAGTGGGATTCTTGGACCATTCTTCGGGATCCCATGGACTCTCCCTCAAATGAGGCTCCTGGACTACAGCCTTCTTCCATGGATTACCCTTAAGAGCTGCCGCTCCTCCCCCATCCTTGGCTGCTCCGGAGACTCCCCAAGCATTAGTAGCGGATGCCACTGCTGATGCAACACCACTCTGAGGAACTACAGAAGCACCACAATAAGCTGACCCCTGGTCTAGCCTCCTCATAGCTGTTGCTGCTCGGGCAGGATCACTGAACACAGCCAAGGCATTCTTGTCATTCAACCAGACAAGCTCGCATTCACCACCAAACCTGAGAACTAACGCACTAATGTCTGCATCTCTTGGCAAGTCAAACAAAGCCACCACAAGCCTTGGATCCATATCCACCAGAGAATCAAAAACAGCAGGCTGAGCAATGTTATTGACAGTACAACCTTTGGCACCAAGTATACGCGCTGGAGCTTTGGACTTGGGTGTAACATGCACAGTGATGAATCTCTTGGGTTCCCAACCAGCTGCATTCACTGAAAGCTTCCACCTTGCAGCTATCAGTCTAACTGCATCCCGCTTTTCCTTCAACATTGGGCAAAAAACATGAACTTTGAG